TTTCACTTAACATAATGCCTTCTAGGTACATCTATATTGTTACAAATGGCAAGATGTCTTTCTTTCTCATGGTTGAATAATATTCCATTGTATATCCATACACCACAACTTCTGTATCCATTTATCTGTTGATTGACACTTGAGATGTTTCTATATATTTATTTTTGAGAGAGAGGGAGAGAGAGAGAAAGAGAGAGAGAGACAGAATCGAAAGCAGTCTCCAGTCTCTGAGCTGTCAGCACAGAGCCCAACGTGGGGCTCAAACTCACAAGCCGTGAGGTCATGACCTGAGCTGAAGTTGGATGCTTAACTGACTAAGCCACCCAAGCACTCCCATGCACTTTACTTTTTTATTTTTTATTCATTATTTTTTTTTAATGTTTGTTCATTTTTGAGAGACAGAGAGAGACAGAGCATGAGCAGGGAAGGGGCAGAGAGAGGGAGACACAGAATCTGAAACTGGCTCCAGGCTCTGAGCTGTCAGCACAGGGCCCGACACGGGGCTCGAACTCATGAACTGCGAGATCCTGACCTGAGCTGAAGTCAGACATTCAACCAACTGAGCCACCCAGGCACCCCACTTTATTATTTTTTTAATGTTTATTTATTTTGAGAGAGAGAGAACACATGCACATGTGCATGGGGGAAGGGACAGAGAGATAGGAGAGAGAGAATCCCAAGCAGGCTCCGTGCTGTCAGTGCAGAGCCCTACATGGGGCTCAGTCTCACAGTGAGATCATGACCTGAGTTGCAGTCAAGAGTTGGTCACTTAACTGACTGAGATACCCAGGCGCCCTTGAACTGCACACTTTAAATAGGTTAATGTTATGATGTGTATATTTTATCTCTATTTTTTAGAAAAAATGAAAAATACTGAAACTAGGCAAAGGGATCCAACACATAGATAACAGAGTTTCTTAAAGAAAGCCAAAATAAATGAAACAGAAAAAAATAGTCAAAATTATAATTTATGAAAAATTTCCTGAAATTAAAAAATGTGAAACAACATATTCAAAAAACACATCACAAACCTGAGTAAATCGATGCCAAATAACCAACATCAAGACATATTGTAGGGGCACTTGGGTGGCTCAGTCGGTTGAGCAGCTGACTTCGGCTCAGGTCATGATCTCATAGCTCTTGAGTTTGAACCCTGCATCGGGCTCTGTGCTGACAACTCAGGGCCTGAAGTCTGCTTGGGATTCTGTGTCACCCTCTCTCTCTGCCCCTGCCCCCTTGTGCTCTGTCTCTCAAAAATGAATAAATGTTAAAAAATTTTTTTAAAAAGACATATTGTAATAAAAGTATTGATCTTAAAAAGAAAGAAAAATAGGGGTGCCTGGGGGGCTCAGTTGGTTGAGTGTCCGACTTTGGCTCAGGTCATGATCTCACAGTCTGTGGGTTCGAGCCCTGCGTCGGGCTCTGTGCTGACAGCTCAGAGCCTGGAGCCTGCTTCAGATTCTGTGTCTCCTTCTCTCTCTCTGCTTCTCCCCCACTCATGCTCTGTCTCTCTCTGTGTCAAAAATAAATAAACATTAAAAAAAATTTAAAGAAAAAAAAGAAAGAAAAATCATCTGGCCATATTGACAAAAAAAGCAACAACACAATGACTTATGAGAGAAAGATTAGTTTGTCATCAGGCTTTTGGACGGCAGCGCATTATGCCGGAAGAAAATGGAATGATGCAGTAAATAAAACGTTAGCCAAGGACTCTATATCCAGCAAAACTGATCTTCCAAGTAGAAATAACAGAGATAAATTGTTATCAACATGCAAAAACTTGGGGAACATTCTTCCTATAAGCCGTAAGTTATCTTTTAGACCATGCACTTCAGACAACCATAATTACTGAAGAGTAACGAAACCAGTAAATAAAAGTTTGTGTCTAGAATTAAGCCTTAGTGAGGATTAAAGGGGATTGCTGTTTACAATGGCAGATGCTCTGACCATGAAGATATAGAACCACCATATATATATCAAGGCATGATGCCTCAGTTCCTTTTCATAAGATAAATGAATAAATAAAAGAGAGCATGTGTGTGAGTGGGGAAGGGGCAAAGGGAGAGAGAGAATCTTAGGCAGACTCCACCCTCAGCACGGAGCCCGACATGGGGCTTGAGCTCATGACTGTGAGCAGAAACCAAGAGTCAGATGCTTAACCCACCAAGCCACCCAGGTGCCTCTAGAAACACCATTTAAACAATGAAGATGAGCAGAGTATATACAAAAACAACACTTAACTCTACTTAGTAATCATAATCAGAAGTGGTATATTACTATTTTCACCCCATGACTGTTGTATGTGTAAAATGGAATTAGCAAATGAGTGATTATGGAACATTCTAATTCGGTAATCCTCTGTATCCTGAACCAAAATTTTCAGTGGGGAAGAAAAGAGATGGGAATGTAATATAGAACAAGGTAAGTAAAAACCCTGTAGTCCTGAATTTGAGTTAGAAATAGCAGTATGGGGGGGCCTGGGTGGCTCAGTAGGTTAAGTGTCCCACTCTTGACTTCAGCTCAGGTCATGATCTCGTGGTTCGTGGGTTTGAGCTCCACATCAGGCTCTGCACTCATAGTGCAGAGCCTGCCTGGGATTCTCTTTCTCTGCCCCTCCCTCACTTATGCACTCTCTCTCAAAATAAATACAATTTTAAAAAAAGTATGTATGAACTCATGAAGTATTTTATCTTTGTGTGTGTGCATGTGAGGATGCACTTTTTTTTTTTACCCCACTTTGCCCACTGAAAAGGTAGAGAAACGATCAACCAGTACATCCTTAGTGTGCAGACTATACTCTTGAATTACCATTTCCCACTGAAAGAAAGAAATCAGGGCTTCTTGGAGAAATGGCTGATTCCAGGTCTGGGTTCAGAGAAAGGTCTGAGATGAACCTGCAACATCTTGATGGACTAGATAGCAAGGAAATCATCAGAGACTATTAGGTTCAAGTGAAAAGGACTCAGGAGCCAATTCAAGAGGCCCAAATGGGACAATCTGAGCTTCAATAAGAATAAAAACTGCATTGGGTTGAAATCCAGCTAATACGTTTATATCTAGGAGTTCATTAAGTGACACTAGAATAATACTATATGAAACCAACTGGCACCTTCTGAGTATGTCAGAGATGTCCTCATTATCTTGAAATGTGAATAAGGAATCAGGCACATATCCAATCTTTCCAGTATACTTGTACCACTGCATAAATAAATAATAGGTGAGGGGAAGTGTCTCCTCATACAATTATTCCAGCTAGTGTATGAAAACAACATGATGGAATATCATCATTGTACCACTGCCAATGAATGAATGGAGCTCTAGGCACTGAGATTAATGGGCACTAACATCAAATAAGAGTGAAGACCAGATCTGATGTGCCTTTGGTGAGAGAAAATACCACCACGCACAGTCTTGCCAAGAGGATCGGATCTCACTCTGATCCAGTCTCTGGAACCAACTGCGAATGTGAAGGATGTACAGAGGGCAGAGCAGTGTGTTGAACTGAACCCTGAGAAAGCAGTCAGCAACATCAGACTGTAGGAGATATTACAGGTCCCATGATTTGGATGCTTCACAAGTATATGATAAGAAAAATCAACGGAAGGAAAGGGAAACAAAACTTAAAACACATACCAAAAATGTTTACATGGACAAGACTAAGCCACAATATCTATGGATGCACACCTAGGTGAGGAAACCAAAATGAAACGCAAGGAGTGATTACTATAAAAGTGCGGGTAGGGGTCAGTTTTGGAGGAAGAGAGGAGGATGGACATGGGAGGGGCTTCTGAGATGGCTAGAAAAGTTCCAGTTCTTGACTGGAGTGATACTTACAAGGGGTTCACAGTAAAGTACTTCATTAAACCATACATTTGTTTTGGGTAATCATCTGTATCAATGTTTTATTTTTACCATAAGAACATTTTGTGGGAAACAGAGAAAATAACGTAAAAAAGGATTTAAGATGCCAGTGTTTTTGTTTTTAAAAAGAGAATGCTGGTGTATTAAAAATGTTTATCAAGGCATGATGCCTCAATTCCTTTTCATAAGATTAAAAATACCTCTTGGTATTGCTGTCATGAAGATGAATATATTCTCAGTTGAAAGTAACTTGGGTCACTCAAACATTCGAACAAGAGCTGTGTGGTTTATATTAATAGTGAACAATCTCAGACCTTGGTCACCTGAGCTGGGCATCTAGCCATAGCCTGTCTGCCTTCACTGTAACAAGAGAAGATGGTTGAAATGGTTTCTAAGGTGTTTTACAGTTCTGTGAGTCTGATGATCATTTTCATATTATTAACACTTAATATGCATTTTCCTGCATTTCAGCCTACTGTAATTTACTTAAATGTATGCTATGAAACGCTTTTCCGAAGCGACCTTACCCGCCATGATACCTTCTCTGTGGGTCTTCCCTTTGTCATTGCTTTTCTCTGGAACTTTAGGCATTGATAAGGGTTTGGCTAAATAAAGTGTGGTGCAGGGGTGCCTGGCTGCCTCAGTCAATAGAGCACATGACTCTTGACCTCAGGGTTGTGAATTCAGGCCCCACGTGGTGTCTATAGATTACTTAAAAGAAAAAAAAAGTGTGGTGCAACCAAACTATGGATTCCTCTGCAGTCATCTGAAAGGACTAGGTGGACCTGTATTCCTGATATTGTAGATACATTTCCAAGATGAGAAAAATACACACATTCCAAACGTACACAATGTTGGAATTTTAAAAAATTATGTGGAAATTTTCATTTAACATACCATTAGTTTTCTCAGGGAGCTGGATTTGGTGAGTGGAAAAATATTACGGAGGAACAGAAGACATTACCTTTTTTTTCTTATATTTTTGTGTAGTTTCTCAAAATTATTTTAAAATTGAAGAATCATAAAGTGCTTGTAGTAAAATGTCCAGCTTGAGGAATTTTCACAAAATGCTCACAAACTCTCATACAACCAACCCCTTGATCATGAATCGGAACAGCTCCAGACCCCCCAAAACTCCCTCATGCCTTCTCCCAGTCAGTACCTCCTACCGAGGGTAACCACTATCCTTATTTCTAACTGTACTGTTAATTTTTTATGAGCAAGATTACTTCTACAATATAAAACATCAAAAGACAACAGCCTCCAAGGATTTCTTTCATGTATTTATCCAACAACAAAACAACATAACTTCTTCTAGAAACACAAAAATAAATGTGGGTCCTTAACTCCAAGCAGCTCACAGGCTAATGACTAATCAAATATCAGAGCCCATGAGAAGCATGAATCTAGTCCCACCAGCGCAAGGGACCACTCGAAGAAGTGGAGCAAAGTTTCACAGAAAAGTAGGGCTTTAAAGGATGAGTAGGAGCTGACTGACGGCGGCTGCAGAACGTACAAGGCTAGAAAGAACCTTTGTAAGTGAGCACAAATGAAAACTAGCTCTTTAAGATACCAGTTTATGGGGCGGTCTGGTAACGGGTTAATCCTATTTGGTTTGGCTTCCGAAGCTGTCAATCAGAATGACGTCATTGTTGATCAGGTTACTCGGGAGGCGTACATTTATTTGCCAGCCAGGTAATGAGGAAAAGGAAGTCTCCGGAAACTAACCCTGGTAGCCCAGGAGGGGAAAACCATGCACCCTGCAGAGGCTGCAAAGCCCTTAATTAAATTCAACCACTGTAAGAAATACATCTACAGCTTCAGTGTGCCCCAGTGCTGCCCCCTCTGCCAGCAAGTCATGAGCTCGAGGAAGCTGGAGGAAGCACCTGTTAGCATCTCCAATCCCTTTACCAATGGGCATCAAGAAAAATGTTCGTTCCTCCTCAGACCAACTCAAGGGACGTTTCTTAGGTACGGTGTTTTTTAAAAAAAATTTTTTTTTCAACGTTTATTTATTTTTGGGACAGAGAGAGACAGAGCATGAACGGGGGAGGGGCAGAGAGAGAGGGAGACACAGAATCGGAAACAGGCTCCAGGCTCTGAGCCATCAGCCCAGAGCCCGACGCGGGGCTCGAACTCACGGACCGCGAGATCGTGACCTGGCTGAAGTCGGACACTTAACCGACTGCGCCACCCAGGCGCCCCGGTACGGTGTTTTTTAAGTGTTACATTGAATTCTGTAAACTTTGCCTTTTGTGTTGTGGTCACTAAAACTTTCTAACATGTACTATACAGGGCGAGGCTTGGTGGATAGTCTTGCCAGTTGTTTTGGCATTAAATCCTAAAATGTAGATCTACTCATTTCATAAAGATAGATGGTGTATGTACTCTCCTAGAGGGATAAGTGCAAGAATATATGAAGAACATGTGAAGGTCAAACCTGCTTATACAATCTTAGGAGAGGAAAACTGAAAGCTTGGAACTTTTTTTTTACCCATAGATTTTACACTAAGAGGCTAACTGGGAAAACGACCCAGCAGCTACTCCAGTCAAAATAATTCCTTTACCGCGAGTTAGCCTGAAATATCTGTGGCAAACAGGTACCATGTACAAAAGCCTGAAAAACGGCCACATACAGACTATTCTACATGGTGGTGAATTAAATTGAAGACCAGACCTGGTGTGCCTCAATTGTGGATGCCACCTGACTTTAAGAAAGATTTCAGAAATCAAAAGAAAGGACCTTACCTCCTTAGTGTCCCTGTGGAGTTTACAAATGGAACTAGAAGTGGCCCAGCACAAGCCAGGTGTTGAGAGCATGGATGCTACAGAACGATGGCACGTGCTTTAGGAAGCATGTTCGTAAGCATCATTGTGACCTAATGCTGAGACATCCTAGCCTTCTTGAAATCCCCCCTCCCAACGCTCATGTGCCCTCAAGAGCTCTGGTTTGGGGTAAGACGGTTGGAGTTGTCTATTTATTTCCCTGCTTACTAACTTCCTTAATTGATTTCCTTCCTGTCCTTATGTGGATAAAATGAATGAAAGTGTGCAGTTTTGCACCCCTGACTCTTCCCGGAGGTCACAGGATACAGAGAGAACAGTGCAGGCCGTAGTACCACAAAGCCTCCAATTCCTATCCTGTTTTCAGACAGCATCAGAGCCTCTGGAGTCTCTATTCCTCATCTGCAAAATGAGGGTCCTGCCGACCTTGCAGGGTGGTGAGGGGGCAGTGTTAAGGCAGAAACATGACCCGGGCACCAGACACAAAGTGGAGCCAACACGCTCTTTTCCATGATATTCTTTTCATATTCAGTTCAGAATGTAACTGGCAGAAATTTCATTTCCCTTATCTAAATCATGAAGCCCAAAATGTTTCACAAGATCCCCTCATTCATGCTAACTTGGAGAATTACTTGGCTAGATTCTGAAAGCTTTTGAATAAAGTGATTAAAATTCAGAATTCATCCACTATAACATTGATTCATTCAACAAATCCTTACCAAGCATCTCTGTGTGGGAAATTCCAGGGATGTCACAGTGAATGAGCCAGAGCCCTGCTCTCCAGAACATGATAGGCTTTTGGGTTGGCCCCTAATAAGCATTTATGTACTCTGTGATGTGGTAGCAATACTGATGGGCCTGGCCTTCCTTGGCATCAGCAGAAGGGAGGTGGTGGTGTTGAAACAGGTTATATGCTTTAGCATCCTCCCATTCCCTCACGCCAGGATCTGCAGAACTTCAAGTAGTCCCCTGCCCACCAGACCTTCTAAGGCCAACTTCTAAACTGTTCCTTTCCCTCTCATCCAATTTCCAAACTCTCAAGAATGACTCCCACTATTCACCTTGAGAAAATTTCATCTACTTTGTAAAAGAGAACCTTCAATGACCCTCGGAAATCACTGAGGTTCTCATCAAACTAGGTTAAGATCTCTCAGGGCTGCCACATATGGTTGTACAGGTTGTACACTGCCCAAAGATGCTTTGTCAAGGTGGTTTTGGGTCCTGAAACTCAGGAGGCACTACACCCAGCAAGCCAAACATGCTGGGCAGAGCTGCATCTGCAGGAAAAAAGGGAACTTTTCTTAATTTGTACCAAGGAGTTGTATGAGAGAGAGGTGGCTCTCCCACTGCCCCTATGACATGCTTCTGTAACAGTCTACATTTTTTTCCCCTTCAGAACACTTATCTGTTAAAAACTCGTTAAACTAAAAAGTCTTCTCTGGAAGCAAGCAAACTCCAAGAGGGCAGAGACCTTGTCAGGCTTATTTCCTGTTGTGCTACTAGCCTTTCACTTCAAATGACAGGCCCATAGCTCGTTCACACCTGATAAATATCTGTTGCATGACTGAGAAATAACTGAAGGACAGGGGGAGGGAAGGAACACCTAGGATTGAGGCAGGAAACAAAGTGCAGTGACATGCTTACGCAGCAATCTTGGGGTAAGTAAGTGCAGCGCCACAATCAGACTGGTACCTTGTTGCCCAGCTTCATTCTCAGCCTCTGAACCCACAGTCTCAAAACCCTCAAAGTGGTGGCTGCAACAAGATGACCTGGGGGATCACTGTGAAGGTGGGGCAGCCATTTGTGTTTTCAGTCATTTTAAAGCCTCGGACTGCTCACTTTAATGAGGAACCTGCGGTCTCATGAAGGAGCTTTATCATTTAACAACAACTTCTGATTTATTTACTAAAAGTTATTTTAATGTTTATTTTTGAGAGAGAGAGAGAGAGAGAGAGGAGGGGGGGAGATAGCATGAGCAAGGAAGGGGCAGAGAGAGAGGGAGACACAGAATCTGAAGCAGGCTCCAGGCTCTGGGCTGTAAGCACAGAGCCCGATGTGGGGCTGGAACTCATAAACTGTGAGATCATGAGCCGAAGTTGGATGCTTACCAACTGAGCCAACAATAACCTCTGATTTATTTGACACTTGCAGGCACTCAACTGGTATTTTATTCTTACAACCAGCTTGCTAGGAAGTTTATGATATTCCCATTTTCCAGATGAGGAAACTGAGATCAGAGAGAGAAAGTGACTTGCTAATGTCCCCCTGCTAGTAAATGATGGCCTGGGATTGGAAATGAAGGTTAAATCATACGGAATCATAGATTTAATGAACAGTCTCAGGTAAAGAGTAATTTCAGAAAACAAGGCCATCCAGGAAAAGTGGGTGTGGCTGCAGGCTATAAAGACCAAAAGACACTCCTTTAGTTTTGAAGGTAGAGGTCCACTGAGATGCACTCAGGATCCTCTCCCCGGTCAGCCTGTAACCTCACCTACAAGGCGGGAAGTATGAGGATCTCTTTCAACAACTGACCTCCAGCTGTGCCCTTCAGATGGGCAGCTAAGAGTTAAGCTGACTTTATGCTCTAGGAGGAATGGCCTTCCAAGGCCTTCCACTGCCTTTAGTGATGGGGGGCCAAAAAAATCCAGCTGGGGGGGCCGGGGGAGTATTTTCTACCTCAGATGTACTCTTGGCTCAACCAGTTTTGAAACAGTGCTTCCATTCACATGGCCACTGATGGCAAGAAACTTGGCACCGGCCAAGATCACTCTCCTGCTTTTAAGTATGGACTCTTCATGCCAGTCATGTGCAAATGAGAAAAAACACAAAACTTGTTTCTTTCAGGGAGTACGATGGAAGGTCTGATCTTCACGTGGGAATAACCAACACAAATGGTGAGTGCACTGCCACTGGTTTTTTGTTTTGTTTTGTTTTGTTTTGTTTTTTTAAAAACTTAAAATGTCCCCACACTACTAGGTAGGAGAGAGTGGTATTTCTAGAGAAAAAGTGCTCATGACATTTAATTAGGGAATTCCTCTTTTCCCTGGGTTCTCATACCGTACCATTAGGTGGGCGATGCTTACCCCCCTTAAAAGAGAAATACTTGACTTTACAGTAACTTAGTACTAATGACAATTCTAAATATTTGAAAGCTTGTTAATGTTTTCTCAGCCAAGAGTATCACCAAGCCTGTTTTGTTGGTTTTTTGAGAGAGGAACATGATTTCTTCTTGTGTTGGAACCAGAATCTGGACCCAGCACACTGCCACTGGGTCCTCACACACCAGGGTCTCTGGTGGCCAGGCACGGGCCTCAGAAATAAACCAAGGGACAGAGGACTTGGGCATGTGGTGGGTTCACTTAAAAAAAAAAAAAAAAAAAAAAGTCATGTTTAAACAAAGCAGTTCCTTTGCCCAGACTTAGCTCTGAGGGCACAGCCTGGAGGCCCTGAAGACAGAGCATCCAGTGTACAGGAAGAGGGCCTGGTACCCCAGTCACAGGGGGTCGTGGGCCTAGGGATGGTGAGCAAAGCCAGGCAGGTGAGGCTGTGATCACAGGCCTCATAAGTCAAGTCTGAAGGCAACCTTTCTGCACCTGCTCAAGGCGGGAGAAACTGACCAGCGAACAGAAACCCAGGACTGGATTTTTGAACTCAGATTTACCCACATGAGCAAATTTACCACCCATTCCATCAGTGGAAATTTATTGCTGATTTAAGGAAAGAAGATAGAACCATTCGTAAATAGAAAACTTGAGCAAAAAATATTTGGAGATGAATATCTATTCTAGTCTCCATTTCCTGGGGGCAACTTCACGGTGCTGGAGAACAGGTAGAGCAAGAACTGGGTTTCCCTGAAAGAAATGCTTTGCTGAGGGCCCGGGAGGCAGAGGCTCGTAACCCCCAATCCTGACTCTAGGCAAGGCCCTCTCTAAATCTGTTAGGTGGGTGGCTGCCTCCCCGGCTTGATCCTGCAGGAGATTCTAGGGTCTTTCACGGTCTACTGCTCTTCGACAGTAATCACAAAGTACAACTGGGTTTCTGTTATGTGGCATTTCCCAGGAGCAGTTGTCATTTTCTGATGGCCTCTAAACAGAGGTGCATTTTCCCTTGGGCTTCCGCATGACTCCAGTTTTGGTTGCAGGAGTTGTGTATAATTACACCATGCACGGGGTCCAGCGAGATGAAGCAGGGTGGGAGCAGAGTGTAAGCATCCCTTTACTGCAGCCTGGCATGTATGGACTGATGGATCAGTGGGACAAGTACCTGGAAGACTTCTCCACCTCGGGAGCCTGGCTGCCTCAGAGGTACAGGGCTGCAGGGGCCACCTGCTCATTCACCATGCAGGTGGGACCCCAGCTCAGAGGACTCTTAAGCTGTTTAGTTTATGGTGAGCCTGTACCAAGAGAGTAGTACCTGTAACAAAGTTTAAACAGGGGTTGAATTTGGGTTTTCTGCAGAGATGAGCCAATGTACCTTTACACAATAGAATCACAGCATTTTTAAAAATAAATGTTTATTCATTTTTGAGAGAGAGAGAGAGAGAGAGAGAGAGAGAGAGAGAGAGATGGAGAACATGAGTGGGGGAGGGGCAGACAGAGAGGGGGACAGAGCATTCAAAGCAGGCTCTGCATTGACAACAGCCAGCCTGATGTAGGGCTTGAACTCACAAACCATGAGATCATGACCTGAGCCGAAGTCGGATGCTCAATCAACTGAGCCACCCAGGAGCCCCAGAATCACAGCATCTTAAGAACCAAAAGGACCACAGCTTAGTACTCCAGTTATTTGACTAGATGTTTTTACATACTTAACATTTAATATGTACAGAAAGACCCCTATTATATTCCCTTAAACATTTTTTAAATGTTTAACATGTAAAAATAATGTTTTTGTGATTTGGCAAATTTGAAATTTCTCAATTTATTGCTCCCTCAACACTTTAGATATATGGCATACTTGTGAACCTAAATTGTCTTGAGGCTTCCTTCCCTTAAAATAAATTTAGACACTGGGATACCCTAAAACCTGGAAGGAGAACTCCATTTCTAGAATGTCAGCTCCCTAAGTTACAATGAGTCAGCACATGTAGACACGCCCACTCCTGTCTTATGTCACTTGCAAGTGGACATGGCCCAAACCGCCAAGCGTCCCTCGAAATTGCACCTCTGGGAGCTCTGTCACCAAGGGGTCAGCACACATAGGGGCCCAGTCCACTGACAGCCCCATTTCAACTCTGCAAGTCCTTCAACAGCTTCATGGCTTGTTCCTGAGCAGCGTTTTTTTTTCTTTAAAATTTTTAATGTTTATTTTTGAGAGAGAGACAGAGTGTGAGTGGGCGGGGGAGGTGGGGAGCAGGGCAGAGAGAGAGGGAGACACAGAATTCGAAGCAGGCTGCAGGCTCCAAGCTGTGAGCTGTCAGCACAGAGCCCGACGTGGGGCTTGAACTCACAAACTGTGAGATCATGACCTGAGCTGAAGGTAGATGCTTAACTGACTAAGCCACACAGGTGCCCCCTGAGCAGCTTTTAAACCTAAGCCTTCCCTTCTCACCATCCTTCTTTTGTAAGGTACGAAGAAGACCATCACAACTGCTACAGTTACACCCTCACGTTCATTAACTGCGTTCTGACCACAGAAGGCAAGGGGCAACTGGACAAGGGTGAGTTCACGGAAAAGTACGTGGTTCCGAGGACAAGGAAGGCTTCCAAGTACATCACACTCTACCGAGGGATAGAGGAGCATGGCTTCTACGTGACCGACTGCCCTGAGGAAGAGACAAACCCTCCTGAGGGGAGCGGTGTGTGCTGAGTGTGCCGTATGCCAGCAGAGGGGTAGCTCGGGACTTCCTACCATTAGTAGATACTAGAGATTTTTAGGTGGGTTAAACTGTGCTTAATACCAAAGTGTTATGACTTTACGTTTAGCATATTTCCACTTACTGCAGTATAAGAATTTATAGAATTAATAAAGATTGTCCTGTTTTTAAAAAATGTTTTCTTTATTTGTTGCGAGAGAGAGAGAGGGCACGAGCATGTGAGCGTAAGGGGAAGGGCAGAGAGAGGGAGAGAGAATCCCAAGCAGGCTCTGTGCTGTCAGCATGGAGCCTGACGCAGGGCTTGATCTCACAAACTGAGTCAAAATCATGACTTGAGTCAAAATCAAGAGTTGGTTGCTTAACCAACTGATCCACTCAGGCGCACCTATGAGGGTTTTTGTTTTTTTGTTTGTTTTTTAAAAGCATGAGCTGGTGGGAGGGGACAGAGAGAGGGGGAGGGAGGGATGGAGAGAATCTTAAGCAGGCTCCATGGAGCCTGATATGGGCCTGATCCCACAACCCTGGGATCATGACCTGAGCCAAAATCAAGAGTCAGATGCTCAATTGACTGAGACACCCAGGCACCACACCCTGGGTTTTAAAAATTGTATTGGATTACAACTAAATTATTCTCATAATGGTTTGATTTTTAAACTGAGATTCCATGATACAGCAGAGTGGCAGCATTTTTATTTACAGAACAATGAAAACTATTTCTATAATTAAAGCTGAACAAATTCACCTTTCCATGTGAACCCAGAGAGTAGGAATTTGTAGAAAGGTGAGCAAGACACAATTAATGAAGTAACTTCACTGGATTGTTTTTATTTAAAAAGCACATGGTAGCCTTTTGACAGCAATAGTGAAGCAAAGAGAAGAAAGAAGGAAAGACGGAAGGAAAGCAAGTAAGCAAGGGTCTTGGAATCTAAGTCAGGAAACAGGTTCCACTTCTCAATTAGCCTTTACGAGCATATATTCAAAGTGGATGGCAATTCCTCAAGTCATTCTGTTTCATTCATTTTGCCTGACCTCACATGAGGAGATTAGGGTATTGAGTTTACCAAGGCAAAGCACATCCCCTGCCTACTTTATTATTTTTTAAACTTTATTTATTTATTTAAGTCATCTCTACACCCAGTGTAGGGCTCGAACTCACGACCCTGAGATCAAGAGTCGCAGGCTCCACTGACTGAGCCAGCCAGGAGCCCCTCCTCTGTCTACTTTAAATGCATAATTCAGGAAGGATACAAGGAAAGGTGGACTTCTTTCTCTAACACCTTCAGGGGAAGGAAGGGGGAACAGGTGGGAGGAGTAATTATGAAGAAATGAGGTGACTTAACAACCACATCAGAATTCATATGCGCAAATAATCACTGAACTTTAGCCAAGGAGTGAAATGTTTCAGCATTCCTCTCTGGAAACTGCTTCCAGAGTTCACTTTGTTTTTGACCAAATGTGATATACTGCCACATCTAATCTTATGCCCCAGCTATGGCACCAAATAAATGATGTCTAATTTCCAAAAAACCAAGTCCATCTTTAAGGAACCGGTAATTTACCCATAATAAAGATATTCAGAAAACTTGCTACAGATCCGTAAAGCCTGTTACCAGGGAGGCATTTGGGTAATGTTTCAGAACTTGGCAAATTCAGTGGGGGGAAATGCATGGCACACCAACATTTGCATTTATAAGTTTGGGTCCTTTTAAGAGAAACAAAACTTCCCACCCAGAACATGATACCGCTTTAAACAGAATTATGACTACTATTCTGTGGTGTTCAAGAAGTTATAAAGACTTGACTGGATAAAGATGAAAAATCGAGTGTTGAGTTTGGGATATATTCCAATTTGTCCCTATTCTCTTAACAGACTATTTTTGGACTCTACTTCTCTGGTCCAGTTCTTTACCCAATTATTGATAATCAGAGCAGCTGTAATTAATGAGTATTCATTAAGGACTCCATACCTGAGTAAATTTCTTAATCTTTCTTCCCTTTTAATCCTTAAGACCACCTTGAGAAGTAGGTACTAACAATATGCCCAATTTGCACATGAAAAGGGACACTGAGGAAATGGCTTGCCCAAAGTCACACAGTGGGAAAACCAGAGATCAAATCTAGGTTTGACTGTGAAGGCCGTGCACATAACCACTGGGCCACCATTTGCCACCAGTAGAGAAGATAAAGGAGAAAATAAAGATTGTGCTTCCATCGACATTCAAACAGGGAATGGAAATACATGTCATAAAAATTCGGATAAAATAAGAAGGGTAAATATTAAAAATGGCAATTTCACGCTTTCTCTTAGTGCAGCATTCCTTGATTTTCAAACAAAGCTTTCACAGCCTCCAGTCCCTGTTTTAGGGACTGCTCTCCAACCTGGGGGTGAGAACGGCAGCAGTCAGCCTATTTCTTCTTTCACTTCAGGAGGCTACAAATTCCCTCTTATAAAAATCACAGTACCACCTTACAAACTTTACCCCTAATGAAGGAAATTAAGCACTGACATAATACCAATAGATGGCAATGTTGCTCAGTTTTGCAGAATTATGAACTGCGAATCCTTCCATTAAGTTTCTTTTATCATACCAGCTAAATGCTAACTGAAGGATGAGGAGAGTCAGCATTGGCACCAACTCTGCTTCCCAGAAGAGTTCTCCAGCACTGGCACCCCCACAATGCATCTCTTCATCTCATGGTCTAGTGCTGCCCTGGGCACACATCTAGTCCTCGTCAACCCTCAAGTAATGACTGACTGCTGGGCTCCTTTTCACTGCAAGGTCATAAAGTTAGCCTCAGGGTTAACTGATTTGAAAGTCTAAAATGATCCGCCCAAAGCATTTCCCCAAAGCTTTCAGGGCATGCATGAATTACTCCTATAACCAGGAAAACCTAATAAACATTATTTTAGAAAAAACACACAATGGCCATTTCTGGCTCCCCTTGCACAGGAGGAGAAACTTCTTGCCATCCCCAGAGCTGTCTTCACTACTTTACCTCCAACTATTTTTCTGTCACCTCCTTCTCCTCCACTGTCACCTACCAGGGCATAAAATAGGCTTTACATTTCCTAGAGAAAACAACTATGGCAGTGCTTATGCTTTTGGTTTATCTGAAAGAGGAAAAAGTACACACGCTTCATGCCAGACACTTTCATTTAGTCCACAAAACACACTCAGCATGCTGTGATCATTTCCATTTCACAGGTGAGGAAGCTAAGGTTCAGAGTGATATGCGAAGGCTCCCAAGGTCACCACTGTTTCCCTAGTGTACACTTGGAATTTGGACCTAGGTTTTTCTAATGCCATTCTTCCTACTTTATCAGAACGTGCTACTTAAAAGTTAGGAAGAGGTGCACCCGGGTGGCTCAATTGGTTAAGCATCCGACTCTTGATTTCACCTCAGGTCATGATCTCATGGTTGGTGAGTTCGAGCCCCACAAGGGGCTCTGCAATATCAGTGTGGAGTCTGCTTGGGATTCTTTGTCTTCCTCTCTCTGCGCCCCTCCCCAGCTCTCTCTCAAAAATAAATAAATAAACTTAAAATAAAAGGAAGAATATCTACCTGTGTAACATTGTTTCTGAAAATAAAAAGATTCTAAACATCTTAAATGCTTGCAATCTTTCATTTTTTAAAAAAGAGTGAATTACTTTGAAATTAAAAAAAAACCACTACCTCTTAGTTTAACAGTTTCACAAATGTGCTTTTTCATATCATGTACTCCTACAGGATGTCTCCCTGTATTACACGAAGTGGTAGAAAGACTAAACTTTTTCAGCTTATATATAAAAAAAGTAAAGATTGAAGATAAATCAAGCATTAGATAACTCTCAATTTTAGAAATGGACCTCAGTTAGTTTCATGGAAGTTAACATTCATGGTATAATTATTTGAGTCTGTAATCAGATTTTTAAGAAATCAATTTAGTTGGTAAAATCACAAATGGGAGGTAGGTGGTGGGGAGAAGATAACTCATTTCTTTTCAACCTAAGTACTCCTCCACAAGGGGAAAACTAAGTTAAAAACCAATTCAAGTAAACAGCAACTTGAAAAAAAAAAAAAAAAAAGAAAAAAAAATAAAAATGCTTTAAAAATAGGGGCAAAAAAAAAAAAAAAAAAGACAATCAAAATTTTATTCCCCAAGTAACAATGGCTTTTCAGACTTGTGTACAGACTATGCTCAAAAATGTAGGGAAACCTGAGCAGCTCAATCCCGGTTAAATTGCCTAAAACCACGTCCCATTCATGTTGGTTTAATCCCTGCCAATCCCTGTATGAATCACTTAATAGAACTGAGTCAAAAAAAAAAAAAAATTAAAAAGGGGCGCCTGGGTGGCGCAGTCGGTTAAGCGTCCGACTTCAGCCAGGTCACGATCTCGCGGTCCGTGAGTTCGAGCCCCGCGTCGGGCTCTGGGCTGATGGCTCAGAGCCTGGAGCCTGTTTCCGATTCTGTGTCTCCCTCTCTCTCTGCCCCTCCCCCGTTCATGCTCTGTCTCTCTCTGTCCCAAAAAAAAATAAAAACTTAAAAAAAAAAAAAAAAAAAAAGAACTGAGTCTCCTTACAGGAGAACTTAGGCCAGTAGAGGCACAGACATCGGGATTTCCCCGCACAGTCTGGGAATGAGGTCAGAAAAACGTCAGTCTCTAAAACTGAAGCTAAGAGAATCAACATACGATAAGCGACTGCACAAATCACTGCCTTCAGATGATGGGTAACGGTGGTTCTTAAGACAGAACTTCCTCTTGTCTCACCAAATGAATCAGCATAGCTGGAAATTACTGGAAGTCCATCACGAGCCAGGCATGGTACTAATAAGCACCTTGTAAGGGCCAAGACACTTAATCTTCCAGCAAGCCTCTGGACATCATTATTTTTACTTTTTTTTTTTTTTTTTCTCATGGAGGTGAGATTCTTATTCCATAAACCTATTTTCAAGGGAAAGATTCTGCACTTAGTAGATTCAGTGTTGTGCAACCATCACCTCCACTTCCAAAACATTCTATTACCTCTAAAGGAGACTCTGGACCCACCAAACAGTTGCTCCTTAGTCCTCCCCCACTGACCCTGGGAACCACTGATCTGTGTTCTCTATGGATTTACCTATTTTGGATATACACCTGGAATCAAACGCTATGTGGCATTTCTTTCACTTGATATGTGTTTGAGATCCATCCATGTTGCACATACCAGCTCTTCACTCC